CTTGTTAATGTTAGAGAAGTTTCAAAACAAAGAGATGGTTTGGTTTCTCTACAAAAGCAACTTCTTTCAGAAATCCTAATGGAAAGTGATATTCACATATACAATTTCTATGATGGAATTAGTTTGATAAAAAATAGAATGGCTTGTAAAAAGGTTCTTATTGTTCTAGATGATGTGGTTAATGGGGAACAAATTAAAGAAATTAGTTGGAAGTCATGATTGGTTTGGCTTAGGCAGTAAGATCATAATAACCACAAGAGATGAACATTTGTTGAAATCACACGGGGTAGATGAAGAACATGTATACAAGGTTGAGGAACTAAATCATGATCATAGTATCCAACTCCTTAGTTTGAAGGCCTTTAGAAACTATCAATCTCCCAAAGACTATTCGAAGTTGTCTGAGTGTGTTGTGAAGTATGCTGGTGAGTGCCATTAGTTCTTGAAGTTTTGGGTTCTCTTTTGTACGGTAGAACTGCAAATGAATGGATGAGTGCACTAGAAAGACTACAAAGAGAACCTGAAAAAGATGTTCTAGATAAACTTCAAATTAGTTATGATTGTCTAAAAAATACGGAAAAGAAAATATTTCTCGATGTTGCATGTTTTTTCAAAGGGTGTAAAAGAGATTATGTGACAAGAATACTTGATGCTTGTGATTTTACCGCAACCATTGGTATAAGTATTCTTATTGAGAAATCTCTCCTAACTATTTTAAAAGACAACAAACTATGGATGCATGATTTTTTACAAGTTATGGGTCAACAAATTGTTAAGAGAGAATCCTTGGAGGAGGGAAGCAACAGATATTCACCATGTCCTAAAAAGAAACACGGTAAGAAATTTAGTAGAAAGTAAGTATTTTTATTTTTAAATTCATTTTCTTGAACCATTTAAATAACTAACAATTCTATCACTATCTTTATAGTTTTGTTCGTCACTTATATTTTGCTGTTAATATTTTCTAGGGATCTAAACGAGTTGAAGGCATAATGGTTAAAATGGAACTGAATTTGATTATAAGTGCTAAAGTTTTTTCGAAGATGATCAATCTAAGACTACTTGAACTTCACAATGTGCAGCTTCTAGAAGACCTTGAATACCTTTCTAATGAGTTACGGTTGCTCGAATGGCATGGGTATTCTTTAAAGTCTTTGCCATCAAGTTTCGAACCAGATAAATTTGTCAAACTTAATTTGCATTGTAGCAGCATCGAACAACCATGGAAGGGAATAGTCAAGGTAAGATTGATTCATCCAAATATTTATAAGTAATACTATGAATATAAAGTTAGCATCCCAACTTATGGGATTGTTGATGCATTAGCACCATATTAAATGAACTTATTTATCAACAACATTATCAGTCAGGATCCCAACTTTGTATTTATATAATTTTGCCTAGGAATTAATTATTTATTTTTAACACGGTCAATTAAGAAAAGCAGATCTTTTTTTTTTTTTTTTCCGACAACCTTTCAACACATTGGTATCAATTAGTCTGACAGATTGTCAAAATCTTGAAAAAATTCCAGATCTCACATGGGCTCCAAATCCTGAGAAGTTGATTCTTTCTAGATGTCCAAGATTGCATGAGATACAATCACCTTTTCTTGTTTACAAGAAACTTATTTATTTGGATGTGTTTGATTGCTCGTCTAACAACACTTCCAAGCAAGATTCATATGGAAGCTCTTGAAGAATTTGTGATTAGTTCTTGTCCAAAACTGAAGAAGTTTCCAGAGATTATGAGAACTGTGGGGCGTACGAGGTTTCTATACTTTAGGAAGACTGAAATTAATATGCCATTGTCAATTGAACTTCTGATTGGACTTGAAGAGTTGCATCTAAACCATAATATTAATCTCTTGACTCTTCCAGGTAATATAAATTGTTTGACATCTCTTAGAACTTTGAATCTCTTTGGTTGCTCCAGTCTTGTGAGTCTCCCAAGTTCAATATATGGTTTGACATCTCTTAAAACTCTAGATCGTTCTAGTTGCTCTAACCTTTCAACTTTCCCGGATTCTACAAACGGTTTGAGATCTCTTGAAACTTTGAATTTCTCTGGTTGCTCTAGTCTTGAGAGTCTTCCAAGTTCTATAAAATATTTGATATCTCTTAAAACTGTCAATTTCTCTGGTTGCTCCAAACTTGCAAGTCTTCCAAGTATTATCAATTGCTTGAAATCTCCTCGAACTTTGAATCTCCATGGTTGCTCCAAACTCGTCCGTCTTCCATGTACCATAAATGGTTTGAGATCTCTTCAAGCTCTAAATCTATCTGGTTGTTGTAGTCTAATCAATCTTCCGAGATCTTTAAATGGTTTGAGATCTCTTCAAACTCTTGATCTCTCTGGTGGCATTAGTCTTATTAGTCTTCCGAAATCTATAAATGGTTTGAAATCTCTTCACACTTTGAACCTCTCTAGATGCTCCAAACTTGAAAATGTACCAGAGACTTTGGGGGAACTTGAAAGTTTGACGGAGATTAATCTAAATGGAAGTGCTATAACGCAAACAGTGTCGTCCATATTTCTTTTGAGGAATGTTATAGAATTGAATTTTCAAGGATGCAAAGGGCCACCAAGAAGTTCAGATTTGAGGACTTTGATATTGCCTTCTCTATCAAATTCGTGTTCTCTAACAATATTGGATCTCAGTGACTGTAATCTAGGGGAAGGAGTAATCCCCAGTGATTTCTTTGCAAGCTTATATTCATTAGAACGCATAAATTTAAGCTCAAATAATTTCATTTCATTGCCTGCAAGCATCAGTCATCTTTCAAAACTTCAATATCTTTACTTAGACGATTGCAAGTTGGTCGAGTCGTTGCCACAACTTCGATCGAATATCCTTTTTCGTTACAAAGAAACAGTAAAAAAATTCTGTATTTCTTGTGTAAACTGCTTCAAATTGCTCAACAACAAAAGCTTGACCCTACTGATGGCGAAAGATTTCCTCAAGGTCAGTCTCTCTTTCTTTCTCACTTGCACATGTATTAAACTTTATGCATTTAATTATCTGACTTCTTTTTCCTTAATTAATTTGAGGTACGTTGTTTGCAAAATCCAAGTATTAAATTGTGGTTGGTTGTTCCTGGAAGTGCAATTCCATTGTGGTTGAAGCATCAGAGTGAGGGTTCTTCAATAAGAATAGAAAGGCCTCCAACTTTTTATAATAAGAAGTTGATGGGATTTTTTGTGTGCTTTGTTTTTGCCATTAGCAGCCATCTGCCTGTCCCCAACAATATTCCAGATTTATTGTCTTTGCAATGCTGTATGCAAATTGATGTAAGAAATACTATTTTTTTCCCTTTCGGTTATTGCTATGACGAATTCATCTATGCCATTTCAGAGCATGTTTGGTTATTCTATTGGCCTTGCGAGTGGGAGGACAAGTTTAATCACATTGAGGTTTTATTTAAAGAATGTCATGGATTGGAGGTGAAGAGGAGTGGAGCGCATCCAATATATGAGCAAGATCTGAAAGAGTTCAATCCAACTATGCATGTTGTAACAGCTAAGAGAAGCCTTGCTACCAATGATGACGAGGAACAATTACATGAAAGAAATAAGAAATTCAAGTTCTTTTGAATTGCAAATTAAGTCTTTCTCCCTTTGGATACATGGGTATGTCTGCTCAATCTCATTTTCTGATTCTAACTAATTTTTATCATGATTTTTTGTTTTTTATAAGATTAATGACAAAAAATCAAGATTTATCAATATGTAACATTTTACGGTAATCTTAATATGTTATGTTGTTATTAGTTTTATTATTAGAGGTATAACTTCTTAAAATCTTATCTTTACTTGAGAATTTTCAATCATCTGTTTTGTCTTTGCCTATCGGACAAGTAATACTATGATTAAAACCTTCTGATGAGGACGAAACTAGCTTATATATGCTTTTATTGTATCTATTTTGAAGGTAGGCAAAATCTACAAATTGGACTCTACAAATGCTTTAACTAGCTTTGGTTCTAGTAATGTTTCTCTAAATTACATAGAGGTAGCTTTTGTCAAATAATTAGATTTTAGTCGGGTAGAGTTGGCATCATCTTGATTTATTCGAAAACCGAACAAGTTGAGGTTTGACATAAGAGTGAAACTTGGTTAAAAAATTGATTTTGTTATCATTTATGATCAAGTTGAAGTGTTATATGCTTATGGGCTTTACTAAGTGGGATTATGGGCTCCATTAAAAAGTAAATTCACCCAATTAGACCTATCTTAGGTGATACTATTCACCCAATTAGGGTTGAATTTAGAGTTTTTCATAAAAGTATTGTTAAAGAAAACCTATACACAAAATGAACCAAACAGAAAGGATGCTGGTATTAACAATAATGAAGGAATTAATTATGCAAGTAATATTCCTTGTTTTAGAGCTACTCCATCACAAGCTAATAAAGATACGTTAATCAGATAAGACAGAGATCAATGTCAAACAACATTTGAAAAAATAAAAATAGTCAAAGAAAGAAGGAAGCTTCAGCAGCAACACGTGCATGCTCTCTCCAGGCAGACAGCACAAGTATCAGCATCATCTGAGGATTGCAACCCACATTCGGCAAAGATTAATTGCAACGTGTCATATTTGCACAAACAGGAATATGTTATTTATTACCTCCCAATCATAAACAAAATCAACCAATGATTGAATTCTATAGAGCACACATTGCAAGAGAAACCATAGGCAATTAATTACCCATTGCAGTTCTAAGACATTCGACTAGCACCCCTTGCAAGAAGGATCTGCAGAAATAGTACGATTGTCATCTCAAAGTCATTTATGAAAATCTTTAAAGGATAGTAGAATTCTCACCTGACAGCGTTTTAAATTTCCTCCACAAGCAGCATAATGCAAAGGAGTGCTTCCAGCTCCTATGTAAACTTTTTCGGTTGAAAAGGTGCAATTAACCAAGAAATCAATCATAAATCACACTGCACAAATGAATTTATGTGGCTACATCCAGTCCCAATTAGCCTTTTTTTGGTTTTCTTTTTTTTTTTTTTTTTTTTTTTTTTTTTTTTTTGCTGTTCTATATGCATGCAAGGGCTTAGGCTTGCAAGTTGCTAGCTACTATATTTGGTGTCGTGCATACTTGTGAAAGAAATAGAACATATATGAATCAACAAAATCAACAGTTAAATTAGGCAAACCTGTAATTATTTGCCACTTCTATTCAGACATCTCTGATTCCTTTAAGGAATTTTAATGCTTGAAGCATTGTTGGCCTGTTAGCAGGATTATCTGAGAGGCATACAACAGCGATCTGCAGAACTTGAAGCATCATTGGCTTTGAATCCGCATTGAGGACGGTAGGATCCAGAACATCAACAGCCTGCCCTTTCTTAATCTTCTGAAACACCCATCCCACCAAATTGCCGCCTTCTTTCTCTTTGAAGTCAGGTCCAGTTGGCTCTTTCCCAGTCACCAATTCAAGAAGGATCACTCCAAAGCTATAAACATCTCTTGTTGGTAGATCTGCCACTCTGACCGTACTCTGGTGGAATGTAACCAAATGTTCCGGCAATGTCGGTGCTGACATTGGTTTCACAGGCACTTATCAGTCTAGCTAGTCCAAAGTCAGCAACTTTTGCCTCTAAGTCTTCATTTAGCAAGATGTTGCTGGCTTTGATATCCCTGTGGATGATGTGGGGGATGAAACCATGGTGAAGAAAAGCTAGCCCTTGAGCAGCACCACATGCAATTTTGCAACGTTTAGGCCAATCGAGGACTTCTAGAGCTCCAGTGCGATTCCTTAGCCAAAGATCTAAGCTCCCGTTTACCATGTATTCATAAACAAGGACCTTCTCCTCACCATATGAGCAGTATCCTAGCAATGGCACAAGATTTTGGTGTTTCACTTTACCCAAGGTTTCCATTTCAGCGATGAATTCTCGGTTACCCTGTGTTTTAGCCTCGCTTAACTTCTTAACTGCAACAGATTTCTCATCAGGCAAAGTGGCTTTGTATACAGTTCCAAAACCACCGTCTCCAATTATGTTTGTCTTGCAGAAGTTGTTGGTGGCTTCAATAATGTCAACCAAGGTTAATTTCAGGAGAGGCTGCTCAAATGTAGCAACGTTGATGCTCAAAGGCTCCTTGGATCTGCTACTACTTAACAAATAGAGATCTTGATCAATGAAACTATTTAGCTTGCTTTCCTCATTATCCTCAGGATCATTTTGCCTATGGCTTCTTACGATCCATTTCCGCAGAGCACATACTACAGTTAAAATGATCAATGCACTTCCGACCACAATTCCAGCAAGTCCCCAAGCATTTAACAGTGCTGATTTATCATGGGTTCTGATCTGGCAATCTAAGCCCAGGACTCTCCCACACAGATCTTTGTTCCCGGCAAGTGTAATTTTAGATAGGTTTTGGCAAATACCACTTTCAAATCTTTTTTTAACTGCAATTCAAAATAAGAAAGTAGTGAAACATCAACTAAAAATAGCCACAATTTTTCCGGATGATCATAGGGAGTTTGGGAAGTGCCTCTGGAAAATGTTGTCAAATAGTTAAAAGCTAAAAGCTGTAAGCTCTACTGTAGTGTCTAGCTGAAACCAATAAAAATGCTATTAAAAAAGTGCTTTTGGGAGAAGCAGTAGATAATTCTCTATTTATCTTGTGACAACAAACAGCTCTTAAAGAGTAAAGTGAGTTTTAAAAAAACACTAAATAAACAATTAAGGTACACTTAAGTGCTTTTATGAAAAGCACTTCTACTAAAAAAACACTTCCTTCAAAATCACTTTTAAACCCAGCTCCACAAAATTAACATAAAGCCACTTTTGAACATTTAAAAGCACTTCTGGCAGTTCCCAAAGCACTCTCAAGTCCAACACACACTATCATTTTGGCTCTCAATTAGCACAACCAGCATTCAAAAACAACAAACCTTAAATATTTCAGCTCCCACAAAAAGGAAAAAAAAAAGTCCTTGATCTAGATATCACATATGTCACTCATAAATCATACCCAGAAAAAAAAAAAAAAATTAAAAAAGAAAAATAATAATTATTCATGAATCAGTAAATTGAATAGTTACGAGCAATGACTCAGGATTATATTAATATACAGAAGTATAGAACCAAATTTAAACCAAAACCCAGCAAACAAATTCAAAGAATAAAAAGCTATTGTAAAGGAGAGTTACCGGGAACCTGAAGAGAAGGTCGTGGGAGAGACGGTGCAGCATTGAGAGAAGAGGAAGACGAAAATGAAGCGACAAAATTGAAATAAGAATGATCTGTGGATTTATTTTCAGAATTAAATATTATTATGTTCTTTTAGATATGTGAAAGGCTATGCCGCCACTATGGTGGGATGGGATGGGATGAGCTAAATAACCATGTAATATAGATTTTATATTTTATTTAAATAATGTTTTATGTCTAACTATTTTTTTCTTTTATTTAATAATGTTACATGGCTAGTACAGAGCAATATTTGTGTAATAGAATATAACATATAAAATCAATTCATAAGGATATAAACAATAATAGAGTGCGTTTGTTTTATTATTTTGGATAGGATTTTGAGGATAGAATTGGATAATTGAATATGGGAATATTACGAGGTAAAATTTAAAAATTTATAAAAAAAACCCTAAGTTTGCTAATTTAATAAATACCCCAATATATAAAAATATGTAAAATAACAAAAAGACCCCCACCACCCGCATTGCCAGATTTCGGCCACCACCGCCGGAATCTGGCCGGAAAATTGCATAACGACACATATCGGCCGGATCTAGCCGATATGGAGTCGCTATGGCCTTTTCCGGCCAGATCCACCACGGATCTGGCTGGAAAAGGCTAGATCTACAGCCATATGTGGCCGTTGACGGTCAGAAAAGGCCAAAGAAGGCCATCTTTGGTCGTCAGCGACAGCCAAAGATATGGCCATCGTTGTCAGTCAACGATGACCAAATTTGGCCTTTTTCGGCCAGATCCACTGTGGATCTGGCTGGAAAAGGCCAGATCGGTGAATTACTGGCCAGTTCCTGTTGGTAATTCACCGTTGTGGCAGATTCCGCCTACCACCGACGATGGTTGCCAAAATCTGGCAAGTATGGATCGCGGGGGTGTTTTTGTTACTTTTTAAACTTTTTTTTCAGGGGGTATTTAATGAAATCAATAACCTGATGGTGTCTAAAAGTAATTAAAAAAATAGGTTAATATTTCTAGAATAATGTGTCAAACATTATTTGGAGAATATGATTGGGAATATGGGCATAAATAATAAGTCAAACGCACCAAGATTTAAAATTTTCTTTTATATATAAACTTGTTTTTAAAGCTTTGAAATTTCCATTCCATATATTATTGATATTAAGTTAATGTGTTAAAGGATTATAAGTCTAGAAATTAAGATTCATAAGTAATTTCTTTTAATTCTATTCTAACGAGTAGAAGTTCTTCGAATTAGCATTAAGTATCTTTTTTTTTTTTTTTTTTTGAGGTCACCAAGAACAAGAAAGGAATCACTAATTAACGATGTGTTTCACTAATTAACGAAGTGTTTCTCATCACAATTCAAGTGCTCATTTCCTTATTTCCTAAACGGGTCTTTGAACACATTGAAATTTTAAAACTCAAGTGTGATTGTGTGACTGCTTGGAGTTGCCCCAAATTTGATTAGCGTTTTTTATTTAATTTATTTGTATAAGAAATAAAAGAGGAATAGAGAAATATAGCCGATTGAAGTTGCCTTTAAAATTGTTTAGATTTTTAATTTGAAGAATGTAATACCGGCAATTGAAGTTGCACAAATTTGATTCGATTTTTTATTTTTTGCGTATGAAATAGAAGAGGCATGTCGAAATAAAAGTCTAATTGTTTTTGAGAATAAAAGATTAATATGATAGTGATGGTGGGTTAATGTATAAAATTACAGTTTATAGGGATTTCATTATAATTTTTTATATATTTAAGTTGATTAATGATGTGGAAGTGGCCTCCAGTTTGTCTCATCATGGGATACTATTTTTAAGATAAGAGTTCGGACTAGACCTAATAATCTTTGACCCATATCCGAGGGTATGCGGTACCCAAGTAAAATGGACAGTTACAGATGTCTATGGCTTCGTTTGTTTCAGTTTTGGGAATACTACTTTTAGTATTCCCAAAAAAGTTAAACAGTAAAATACCCAAAAACTCAGATTTTTGGGAATACTACTCCCAATATTATTCAACTTTTTTTTAAACCCCTTAAATTTGATAATTTAATTAAATACCCCTAAATATTTTTTTTAAAATTACAAAAACACCCCAATAATCCACATTTAACAGATTCCGGCCACCACCGCCGAAAAATGGCCGAAATCTGGTAGGATGGTGCACTACCGGCTGAATCTGGCCGGAAAAGGCCAGATCTAAGGCCAAAGATCTGGCCGTTGACGGCCAGATCTTTGGCCATAATAGTCGGTCACGATGGCCAACAAACGGTCGTCGTTGACCATCAACGACGACCGTTTGTTGGCCGTCGTTGAGAGCAAATACGGCCAGATCTGGCGGTTGACGGCCAGATCTGGCCGTAGATCTGGCCTTTGCCGGCCAGATCCACCGTGGATCTGGCCGGAAAAGGCCATATTGGCGCATGACCGGCAAGATCCAGCCGGTCATGCGTCCATAAGGTGACTTCGGCCACCTCCGGTGGTGATGGCCGACTGGGGGTGTTTGAGGGTAGGTTAGGGGTATTTTTGTTATCTTTTAATGTTTTATTATAGGGGGTATTTTGAAAAAAAATAAATATATAGGGTATTTTATTAATTTATAAATCCTACATCGTAATACCCGCCCAATTCAACTTTTTTTAACTTTTTTCAAAAAACTTTTCCCAAAACCCCCAAATTTTGAACCAAACGGAGCCTATAATATTTATCCGTTCCAAAGTTACCTATGCTCAGCCCGCCCATAAAATTTGCGAGTGGACCGAGTGATACCTACGAGTACCCACAGAATTTAAAACAAATTGAAATAGGAATAATGCGATAGGAATTAGAGATTTAGGGTCTCGTTTTGTCATTCATTCTCATGAATCTAAACTCTTGATATTCATAGTTCATAATATATAACAAAGCAGCTACAAAAGCAAAGAGAAGAAGATAGACAAAGAGAAAGCATAGTCGAGAGAGAGTTTTAGATCAACAAAGAAGATTTGTGTTGTGGAAGCCATTGTTCTTATCTCCACTGTTGCTTCTCCTTCCTCTGCTGTGGTTGCAACTTTTAATTTTTAGTTTTCTATTTTCTCCATTACATCCATGAATAATGCTTAAAAAAAAAAACAAAAAAAAAAAAAAAACAAAAACGAGTGGCATTGGGTGGAGTCTTAGTGAGAATGGGTGAGAATGAGTGTGGTGATGAGCTTTATTTGACTCAAAATTTTATTGTAAGAGGAAATGAGAGGAAGAAGACAAGATTAGAAATGAGAGCCCAAGTAAAAATACAAATATGCGCAGTTACCGAGAGAGTTCTATCTTTTATCTTTCGGGGTTTTGTAACTTTGTTTGGGTTCTTTTTGCGGGTGACCCGTGGGTCCATCTGTACCTGTACGGGTTGGTACAAGTGATGCATATTTTTATCCGTTCCAAAAATATACTTGTTTACCCATGTCCGTTTAACCTGTTACCTGCAGTTACCTGGCCCATACCTACCTGGCCCGCCCGTTTGTCAGGTCTAGTTCGGACAGGTAGTATTATTGTTTATTTTATTTAATAAATTGAAAATATTATTTTTTATTTAAATAAAAACTCTAAAAAATTAAATTTTGACAATGGTCAATCATCGATCAATAGTGCTAGCCCAACAACATTTCTTCACGTTTTGACATCACTGCTAACACGTGCAGAATTGGTGTCCGACAATCTATCAATCTACGAAAATTTAGGTCATCAAAGATCAGTGAAGTGACATCACATGCAACGACATATTATTCATGTTGCCACACATGATGTCACCTATGGTGTCTGTGGCTATTGGAACCTACCCAAACTATTAGACGTAGGTTATAAGCATGGGGGCGGGGATCTCATTCACCATACCCATCCTAGCCCTCAAAATCACTCCCCACCCCTGTCCCATCCCCATTACGAGGATGACAGGAATTCCCCTTCCCCACCCCAAAGAGGAATGGTGGAGGCCCGTCCCCACCCCGTTAATTTTATATAAACATAAATTAATTTGAGCATTACCAAACACAATAGTTAATTCTTGTCCACATGACAAACACTTAAATTAATCGTTTAAACATAATTAATTATACATAAATATGGGTCAAGGTTTGTTCTTGTTCAATTGTTTAGGGTGAGAGAAATTGGGAAAATATGAGTTTATATATGTAGGATAATTGTGTAATTAGGTGAAATATAGGGGTATTAGTGAAAAGTAAATATATATATATATATATATACATAATTTTTAATTTTATATATTATATACGGGGCGAGGGAAAGGCATCACCCACCCCCACCCCATCCCCCACGACCGGGGTTTAAACCCCCCCCCCCCCCCCCCCCCCCCCCCCCCCCCCAGGCCGGGGATAAAAACACCCCCCCCCCCCCCCCCCTCTCTTATCCCCAAAAAAACCGGGGTTGGGGCAGGACGGTCCCCGAAATGTTGAGGAACATTGTCATGCTTAATAGGTTCTGCACTTGCTGGTGATGATGTTGATAGGGTGTTTCCAACGACAATCGACAACCAGTGACAATGACGTGGTAGTGTTGTTGGCGGTGGTAGAGGTTATGGTGATAATGTTTAAACAATAATTTAAGTTCTATAATATTTTAATTATTATATTATAAAATATTTAAATTCTAAATCAACCGTTTCAAAGAAAAATTGGGAAAAAAAATTAAAATAGGGGCAAACAAGAATTTCAATAGTATTCCTACTCTTGGCCTTAGAGAAATAGCATTCCACCATTTTGGAATAGTTGGTTACTGCAACATCGTTTGAGATGTAAAAAGTGAAACATAAACTTGAAATGCGTGTTTTTCCATGAATTAAATAGTCTCTTTAATACTTTAAATTTTTTAAGGGGGTGTTTTAACATCAATGAAAATCAAGTGAAAACTTTCAAAAATCATGTGTATTTTTAAAATTAGATAAAAAAGAAGGAATTTTAATGAAATTAAATGAAATTTGATCTTATAAAAATGTAAATCATAAAGATATGTAGATATGTAAATATCAAGAATGAAATTTTATGATTTACATTTTTAAAGAAACTATTTTGTTCCTTCCCATCAACCTCTCTAAAATATCTAATCAGAAAAGTTAAATTATATATGTTGATGTTAATTTTCAAAATTGTTTAGAGGAAAAAAATAAATTAAAAAAATTGAATTTTGTAATTTCAAAATTTAGGAACAGATTTGATGTCATTAATTTCTAAAAATAGGAATCTTAAATTAAAATTACAGAAAACGCGTTTTCTACAAAGATTTTTGAAAAACAATAAAAAGTAAGTTTTAATCTTATTTTTGTAATCACGTAATCCTTGAAGTCACTTATAAAAAGTTATAAACTACTCAAAATTTAACCATCAAAGGGGCTAAAATTTTAGGTATTTGGAAGGCAATCTCAAAATTATAGTGAAAATTGTTTTCTTGCCTTTTGAGTAAATAATTATATAAGATAAATGGGTGCTAATATGTTAAAACTTAAAAATGTACTAATGTTTGATTAGTACCAAAGGAAAGCAAGATCTTGTGCTGATAGTTGCTTTTCTTTTTCTATCATTACGCCAAGTATATATTACTTTTCTTCTAGCTTAATTGGGATTAATTTCCATCATTAAGTCAAGTATCATTTTTCATATTTTAAATTTTTGTGTTGATCAAGAATGGAATTACTTTTGTCTATAAATATGAGTAACATGATCTTACAATCAATTTTACAACTACC